TATTGTCTGGTTGTATAGCATGACTGTATTGTCTGGTTGTATTGTGTGAATGTATTGTCTGGTTGTATAGCATGACTGTATTGTCTGGTTGTATTGTGTGAATGTATTGTCTGGTTGTATAGCATGACTGTATTGTCAGATTATATTGTGTGAATGTATTGTCTGGTTGTATAGCATGACTGTATTGTCAGATTATATTGTGTGAATGTATTGTCTGGTTGTATAGCATGACTGTATTGTCAGATTGTATTGTGTGAATGTATTGTCTGGTTATATAGCATGATTGTATTGTCTGGTTGTATTGTGTGAATGTATTGTCTGGTTGTATTGTGTGAATGTATTGTCTGGTTGTATAGCGTGACTGTATTGTCTGGATTATACTGTGTGAATGTATTGTCTGGTTGTATAGCATGACTGTATCGGTTATGGTTGAACAGTTATCTGGTGACTGTATTGTCAGATTATACTGTTGTGAATGTATTGTCTGGTTGTATAGCATGACTGTATTGTCTGGTTGTATAGCATGACTGTATTGTCTGGTTGTATTGTGTGAATGTATTGTCTGGTTGTATAGCATGACTGTATTGTCAGATTATATTGTGTGAATGTATTGTCTGGTTGTATAGCGATGACTGTATTGTCAGATTATACTGTGAATGTATTGTCTGGTTGTATAGCGATGACTGTATTGTCAGATTATACTGTGAATGTATTGTCTGGTTGTATAGCGTGACTGTATTGTCAGATTATACTGTGTGAATGTATTGTCTGGTTGTATAGCGCACTACAGATTATATTGTGTGGCTGCTGTTAAGCATAAACGATGCCAAAGATAGAGTCGGTAACAGGACTTTAAAACTGCTAAATTCTATATTTTTGGTAAGCTTTTATATTCTTTGTATGATTGTCACATAAAGGCGAATTAAGTGTTACTGTATGTACAACGATGACATAATGTCGCGTAGGTACAGCAGATTTATTAGACTAACGCTTAGTATCATTTTGACAGAAACAAATAACTCCCTTTAAATTGAAATGGAGCCTAAATGGGATGGGAGATTCAGAATCTGAGGAAACCTAAGACTTGTTTCACTTGGGATTTTTAGCATTAAGCGTAATGTAAAGAATCTAAAATGTATCGCCCATATGTCACTGGTTTGTAAACTCTGCGTTCTTCCATCACCTATGAATGCATAGTCCCACATATATACAAAGCAGCAAAAAAAACGTCAGTTTGGAATTTTCCTTCGCAGAAACGGATAACTGTAAACTCATTTAATGTTTTGTTTGTATATTTTTGACAACGTCTCCAACTTTACCTGAGCAAAGACATTCCTTCCCAGGAAATGTTCTAAAAAACGCAACCTGATCTCGGAGATGGTACGGTGTTCTCCATGTTTTTCATGCAACTCATGCTGCACGTGCTGTTCACAAGGACCAGCCCTATAAAATGCACCCCCAAACCTGGTTGAAACATTCACATTGCAACGTCAGCAGGATGCCGCGACTCACGACGGCTCAGAGGAACCAGGCGCTAGGAAGACTTGAAGCTGGCCACACTGCACAAGCCGTTGCCAATCACTTCCAACTCAACGTTCGGACCATCTACAGGCTGCAGCAACGTTTCCGGGCCACCAACACCACAAACGATCGCCCCCGTACTGTCAGACCAAGGGTGACCACAAGACGACAAGACCGCCATTTTGTACAGAATCCCTTCATGCAGGCATCCGAAACAGCACGCCAGACAGTGGGAACACACGGAAGACCAGTACGCCGACGTCTTAACAGCGGGAACCTCCATTGCCGTAGACCTTACCGTGGACCTATCCTCACCCCTCGTCACCGGCGTGAACGTGTACAGTTTGCCCTACAACACCAAAACTGGCGATACAGGCAATGGAGAACTGTTCTGTTCACAGATGAGAGTCGGTACTGCGTATCAACTGTAGATGGTAGAACAAACATATGGCGACGACGTGGCCAGCGTTACTCAGACCAATGTGTTATGAAAAGAGACTTATGGGGAGGTGCAAGCATCATGGTATGGGGTGGAATAGGCCTGAACCAGAGAGTGGGCCTGTGGTGTTCCAGAACCTTGGTCCAGGGAGATGAGGCGGCATCACAGCGGTGCGCTACATCGACCAAGCTCTCAGACCCCACGTCATACCACATTTCGCACGTCACCGGAAGAACATTTTCCAGCATGATAACGCCCGCGCCCATACTGCCAGAGCTACACGGGACTTCCTACAGAAGAACGGTGTCAACAGTATGTAGTGGCCAGCCCTTAGTCCTGATTTAAACCCAACTGAACATTCATGGGATGAAATTCAGAGGAGAATGTCAAAATGTCATACCAAGGACGAACAAAGCCGACTTTGCCGGCCCTTCTCAGAGTGTGGTTCAAGGTGCCAATGGCCTTCATCAATTGGTGCACTCCATGCATAGACGCTGTGCTGCAGTTATTGCCGCTCGTGGTGGTCACACTAGATACTGAAGTCAAGAGACTGAATAGACTGCAAACGTTCACGTAATGTCTTGAAATTGTTTTGAGTTATTCATTTATGTGTCAAGATATATTGTACACAAAAAAATATATTTGATCCGCTTATTATGTCCATTTCTGTAATGATTTGATTACAGTGCCTATCTAATTTTGAATTCGTACTGACGGTTTATATATTCAACTGACACACTGCCCCGTGAAGATACGGGTTGGGATTCAGCAGCGCCTGCTCGTCGGAGGTTGGATGGAGTGGTCAGGCTCTTATACACATGTATCGCTACTGAGGAAATCCATGCTCTTGATGTCATTCACTGGATTGTCTGGTACAGACTCCATTATTTACAGACCACCGACATAAATCTTGAATAGTTCTGATTGCGTCGTTAAACAACAAGCAAACTGACTATTAAAGTAAACACCTTGAGAGGAAAAGTGACCGGCATTGTATTTCCTGCAACATGGATGAAACATTGCCTCCATGGGTTATCTCCCATTTGACAGACAGTCAATTGACCAGTCCAGTTGACACACCCATTCGACAGACAGTCAGTTGACAGACCCCATTTGACAGACAGTCAGTTGACAGACGCCCAGTTGACAGACAGTCAGTTGACAGACGCCCAGTTGACACTCAGTTGACAGACGCCCAGTTGACAGACAGTCAGTTGACAGACGCCCAGTTGACAGACAGTCAGTTGGCAGACGCCCAGTTGACAGACAGTCAGTTGACAGACATCCAATTAACAGACACTGAACTAAAAGGTTAATCAGGGTAACACCTACTGGTATAATGGAACAGTCCGCTGTCTATTGAGTAGAGTAGGGTGAGCCTGAAACAGGTTCGTTACTGAGAAGTTTGATTGTGTGTAAACAGAACTTTGTTGTGATTAAATGATAATATGTCTTCTCTTCTCAAAATTGTTTCTACTATCAATTGCTATCGCATGTGAAAACAGGTTTGTTACTGAGAGGTTTGGTTGTCTTTATTGATGGAAGTTAACTGAGAAAACGTTTTGTTTGTTTGAGTGATATAGACATGTACATGTTCATTAATCTTGTGTGCAAAACATTTAACTTCCCTTTTTCATATGAATAATATTTAGAAGTGCACATTTTCTTTCACGTGAATATAACATTTAAATGATGCTACAGAATCGTAATTCTAATAGCTAAGGAATATATACCACATTTTAACTGCGGATGGAATACAAAATGATGTTGTGTACCTCAGCCTTGTACATGGTTGGTTAAAATTATTGGAATTTCTTGCTTGTCCGGTTGCCTCTTACAGGTGAGAGTAAATCCTGAAGAAAAACTGGCATTGTTCTATTTAGTAGGAACTTTATTTTCTGAAATGCTCCAATCATTTTAGATGTCGTTTTGACACTGTTATCAATATGATGCTGCCAATTCCTGTTAGACGGAAAAAACTGGCATTGCTTATTTCTGCACTAATCTCTCCTCAGTAAAGTCCTTTTCTACGTTTCCTATCTCTACCACTTAGACTGTAGTTAGGCCGAACTTAGTTTAACAGATATTTCTTCACACATATTAACTACATAAATTGTAGATATAAATTCGAAAATCAGGGTTTTTTTCTATTTCCGACGACAGTACTTTAAGACAACAGTTCACTGAAACACGTTTGTGAATATTCTCAACACAGAAAATGTACTTGACCTCTCCAAACCGCACTTGTCACACAATGATGTGCATCTCCCTGTGACAGAACCCACTATTACCAAGGCCCCAGCCAGATTAGTCGACAGCATCGTCCCCAACGGTCAGTACGAAGCCAGTGTGTACGTCAAGTTGCTGAACGATGAACCTACGGTGCTTGGACAACATGTCAGTCTCACGGTGGAGTTCGGCCTGCCAGGTATGTCACCTGGTATTTGACGGGTATGTCACGTGATGTTTGACAGGTAAATCACGTGATGTTTGACGGGTATGTCACCTGGTGTTTGACAGGTAAATCACGTGATGTTTGACGGGTATGTCACCTGGTGTTTGACAGGTAAATCACGTGATGTTTGACGGGTATGTCACCTGGTGTTTGACAGGTAAATCACGTGATGTTTGACAGGTGTGTCACCTGGTGTTTGACAGGTATGTCACGTGATGTTTGACAGGTGAATCACCTGGTGTAAAGGTATTATATACACTGAGATAATTGATCTTAGAACTAAGGATACCGTTTCTTTCTATCTGTTAATGACCACACACGATCAATGAATATAACCAGTTGTTTTATACATACACACAGTTCAATGTTTACAATCATTAGACAACTCTGGGGCAACAAATACGTGATAATAGCTGTCTGCCTCTGACAGTTTTTCAAATCTGAGGACCACAACATTTGATGTATTTATCAGAAGTCACCTCATCAGGCCCAAAATATACTCTATAAATACTAGCATATTCTACAGTTTCTACCGTCACTAATAAACCGTAACATTATCCATCATGAGGCCACGTCCGTGTGTTGCAGGTGGCAAGAAGGATAGACTATACGTCCCTGCTGCCGATCAGCCCATGGTGACGTCATCAGATGGCTGGATGCATCTGCAAGGAGACTTCAGCGCCCCCGATACACGTGTGTATATGATGTGTTATACCCAAACTGCAAGTACCATTGTCCAGTGTAACAGGTATAAACTACAGTACATTTCCGGATCGTCTTACAGCATAGAGTTCATGCGAAGTTGTGTCTTTGCCTACCAACAACGTTACTGGAGCTTTCAGACGCTTACAAACCGCAAATCTCTGTTTGGGGAGATTTCTCCACAAGACAAAATGGCGGCCGGTGAAAGTGGGGGTTTGACAGCCGAAGATATATAATCTTGACTGGATCACCTGGGAAATGGGCAAGGCAGCTAACACCCCGCGTCCTTAGTGTGTGCTTTGACATCTTTAGAGTAATGGCAACAGTCATAAATCTTTAAGCAAACTTTCATTACGCCTCTTCGTGTAAGCGTCGTCCTAATGTTGTTTAGGACTGATTGCAGCGAGTTCGAGGTTTCTAACTTCGAATCCTACTTTGAAACTCACTTGGTATATTTTCAGTGTACCATGATGCTACGACAAAGTCAAATGGTTATAGAGGAACTGATTAGTTATGTTTTCAGTAGAATGGAAGCTCGAATTCCTTATGACTACACAGCATTTAGTTTCTGTAGTTGGGTTCCCTAGATATACCATCTTTAAGTCAACTCTATTACCTGAAGCTTTCATCAGCTGTTGGCGCTCATCACCGTTTTGAACATCACGTTACTGGCTACTTCTTCCTCCCTCACACCCATCACTGGCTACTTCTTCCTCCCCCTCACACCCATCACTGGCTACCTCTTCCCTCACACCCATCATTAGCTACTTCTTCCTCTTTCCACATACATCACTGGCTACTTCTTCCTTCCCCACACTCATCACTGGCTACTTCTTCCTCCCTCACACCCATCACTGGATACTTCTTCCTCCCTCCACACACACCACTGGCTACTTCTTCCTCTTTCACATACACTTCTTCCTCCTCACAGTCATCACTAATTACTTCTTCCTCCCCTCACACCCATCACTGGCTTCTTCTTCCTCCCTCACCCATCACTGGCTACTTCTTCCTCCCCTCACACCCATCACTGGCTACTTCTTCCTCCCTAACACTCATCACTGACTGCTTCTCTTCCTCCCTCACACCCATCACTGGCTACGTGTTCCTTCCTCATACCCATCACTGGTTACTTCTTCCTCCCCTCACCAATCACTGGCTACCTCTTCCTCCCCACACACATCACTGGCTACTTCTTCCTCCCCCTCACACCCATCACTGGCTACTTCTTCCCTCCCTCACATCACTGGCTACCTCTTCCTTCCTCACACCCATCACTGGCCACCTCTTCCTCCTCCCCCACATCACTCACTACCTCTTCCTTCCCTCACACCCATCACTGGCCACTTCTTCATCCCTCTCACACATCACTGGCCACGTGTTCCTTCCCTCACACCCATCACTGGCTACTTCTACCCCTCACACACATCACTGGCTACTTCTTCCTCCCCTCACACCCATCACTGGCTACTTCTTCCTCCCTCACACCATCACTGGCTACGTCTTCCTTTCTCAAACCCATCACTGGCAACTTCTTTCCTTCCTCACACCCATCACTGGCTTCTTACTCCCTCACACTCATCACTGGCTACCTCTTCCTTCCCTCACACACATCACTGGCTACCTCTTTCTCCCCTCACACCCATCACTGGCTACTTCTTTTCCTCCCTCACATCCATCCACAGGCTACTTCTTCCTCCCTCACACCCATCACTGGCTACTTCTTCCTCTTTCACATACATCACTGATTACTTCTTCCTCCCTCACACTCCATCACAGGCTACTTCTTCCTCCCTCACACCCATCACTGGCTACTTCTTCCTCTTTTCACATACATCACTGACTAGCCTTCTTCCTCCCTCACACTTATCACTGGCTACTTCTTCCTCCCTTACACCCATCACTGGCTACTTCTTCCTCCCTCACACCCATCACTGGCTACTTCTTCCTCTCTCACACACATCACTGGCTACTTCTTCCTCCCTCACACCCATCACTGGCTACTTCTTCCTCCCTCACACCCATCACTGGCTACTTCTTCCTCCCTCACACCCATCACTGGCTCTCTTCCTCGCTCACATCCATCACTGGCTACTTCTTCCTCCCTCACACCCATCACTGGCTACTTCTTCCTCCCTCACACCCATCACTGGCTACTTCTTCCTCCCTCACACCCATCACTGGCTACTTCTTCCTCCCTCACACACATCACTGGCTACTTCTTCCTCCCTCACACACATCACTGGCTACTTCTTCCTCCCTCACACACATCACTGGCTACTTCTTCCTCCCTCACACCCATCACTGGCTACTTCTTCCTCCCTCACACCCATCACTGGCTACTTCTTCCTCCTCACACCCATCACTGGCTTCTTCCTCCCTCACACCCATCACTGGCTACTTCTTCCTCCCTCACACCCATCACTGGCTACTTCTTCCTCCCTCACACCCATCACTGGCTACTTCTTCCTCCCTCACACCCATCACTGGCTACTTCTTCCTCCCTCACACCCATCACTGGCTACTTCTTCCTCCCTCACACCCATCACTGGCTACTTCTTCTTCCCTCACACCCATCACTGGCTACTTCTTCCTCCCTCACACCCATCACTGGCTACTTCTTCCTCCCTCACACCCATCACTGGCTACTTCTTCATCCCTCACACCCATCACTGGCTACTTCTTCCTCCCTCACACCCATCACTGGCTACTTCTTCCTCCCTCACACCCATCACTGGCTACTTCTTCCTCCCTCACACCCATCACTGGCTACTTCTTCCTCCCTCACACCCATCACTGGCTACTTCTTCTTCCCTCACACCTATCACTGGCTACTTCTTCCACCCTCACACCCATCACTGGCTACTTCTTCCTCCCTCACACCCATCACTGGCTACTTCTTCATCCCTCACACCCATCACTGGCTACTTCTTCCTCCCTTACACCCATCACTGGCTACTTCTTCATCCCTCACACCTATCACTGGCTACTTCTTCCAGCCTCACACCCATCGCGTGTCCGTTTTTTCTTTGTCCAGCCCTGCGGTCAACACGACTCTACGTCTCAGGGCCACACCCGATGGTCAATTTCCTGGTGGATTCAGCTTCACTGAAAGTTGCCCCGAAGGCTCCCCAGAACTGGAAGGCAGATACGAATCAAGTTATTGACAGAATACGCAAATCCAATATCACTATAAAGTAGGTCTCGCACTGATATAACCAAGACTACCCTCTTACTAGTGTATATAAATATTGCTAAGACCAATCCTCTAAGGACTTGAGATACAATCAAATAAGCCCACAATAAGAGTACAACGCATCACGGTTATATTCTGTTGCAATAAAAGTTGACCGATTGATCTTTTGTCAAAAAATTCAAAAGAATACTTGAAAACAATTTCCAAAATTTCATATCGATAATCCAGTGTATTATAACTCTATCCATGTTATTACGAAAACTACAATAACATAATTCGCTGCTACAACCTATAGTGTGTGGCCCGATCCGTATGAACCTCACTAACAATAGCAGTCCAATGAAATTACTGCCATGGGAGAGAAATATCTATGCTTAGTTAGAGAGAGTCAAGGTGGCGAATGGATCCGGGGTGTTTACCGGACTGGAGATATATTACACTGTATAATGAGGGATGCACTCATTTAATGAAACGTAGGTACGAAAACTGTAGTGTGATACGCAGGCACGACCGTCCTATTAAACAACCAACAGTAACCGTAGTTGAACACATGCACGCTTTCCTGACTCCTATATACATATCTGACCTTCCAGAATAACCTGGGACACGTCAGTCGATCCCAACGCCTTAGAAATCCAGGTTCGTAACAATACTCGCGGGTAAAGAGCAAAAATGTATTTCACTAATGCTCAGAATGTACAAACTACGGCAAAGATAAAGGACATACTGATGTTTGATGGAGGCTAACATAGAACAATCAAGAAACTGTTATCCGACCGGGATGTAACTAACGGTTATCACGGGTTTTGTATCAGTCATGCAGTGTTTGTTCAAATGTTTTCTGCATTGTTCTTACGTTCTGAAAACGTTTTTTTTGTGTGTGCATTTTGTATGTCTTTATATCTTTTGATTGTTTTTTAGAAAGGGCGGGGTTGCTGGGGATTGTCAAGTGAATACTGTCTTTTGCAAGGAGAGTTTTTCCCTCCACGGATGCTTCAGAGGCTTAGATATACGAGCAGATATTCGAGCAGATATTCGAGCAGATATTCCAGTAGATATAAAGTATGTTTACTGTAATGTTAATGTTATTACTTTGTTTACAGTTGAAGCAGGTGAAACATGGCTTTCCGTTTGGAACTGCGGTCAGGGCACAGCAGTATCTCCATGGTGACCGTCGCTATAGTGACTTCATCAACAAGCAATACTGTTCTCGAGAACGACCTGAAATGGCAAATGAACGCAAGACATTCTGTACGTACCTTCAGCTGTTAGCTGGGGTCATGGGTGGGTCAATACTCTAAGACCCCGGAATTCGCAGTGCAGAGTTACGTTCCTTGGACAATCAAGGAATCTGTAATCGTGGGTTCGATTCCCTTTATAGGTTTGACAGCTCCATGTCCTTGCTAGTTCAATACCTTAATCCCTGTAGTCCCTCTTCCTCCCACATCAACAGACACACTGCGATACAACTCGAGTGTTGTTCAATGCAGCGTTGGGGCGGAAGGGTAGGCTAGTGGTTAATGCGCTCGCTCGTCATGCCGAAGACCCGGGTTCGATTCCGTAAACGGGTACAATGTGTGAAGCCCATTTCTGGTGTCCCCCGCCGAGATGTTTGCTGGAATATTGCTAAGTGGCGTAAAACTCACTCACTCACTAGATCATTGCAGCATTAACCCCAGTTCGCCTTACTGTCAGCTAGCCATCAGGTTTGAACCTTACTGTCAGCTAGCCATCAGGTCTGAACCTTACTGTTAGCTTGCCATCAGGTCTGAACCTTACTGTCAGCTAGCCATCAGGTCTGAACCTTACTGTTAGCTAGCCATCAGGTCTGAACTTACTGTTAGCTAGCCATCAGGTCTGAACCTTACTGTCAGCTAGCCATCAGGTCTGAACCTTACTGTTAGCTAGCCATCAGGTCTGAACCTTACTGTTAGCTAGCCATCAGGTCTGAACCTTACTGTTAGCTAGCCATCAGGTCTGAACCTACTGTTAGCTAGCCATCAGGTCTGAACCTTACTGTTAGCTTGCCATCAGGTCTGAACCTTACTGTCAGCTAGCCATCACGTCTGAACCTTACTGTCACCTAGCCATCAGGTCTGAACCTTACTGTTAGCTAGCCATCAGGTCTGAACCTTACTGTTAGCTAGCCATCAGGTCTGAACCTTACTGTTAGCTAGCCATCAGGTCTGAACCTTACTGTCACCTAGCCATCAGGTCTGAACCTTACTGTTAGCTTGCCATCAGGTCTGAACCTTACTGTTAGCTAGCCATCAGGTCTGAACCTTACTGTTAGCTAGCCATCAGGTCTGAACCTTACTGTTAGCTAGCCATCAGGTCTGAACTTTACTGTTAGCTAGCCATCAGGTCTGAACCTACTGTCAGCTAGCCATCAGGTCTGAACCTTACTGTTAGCTAGCCATCAGGTCTGAACCTTACTGTTAGCTTGCCATCAGGTCTGAACCTACTGTTAGCTAGCCATCAGGTCTGAACCTTACTGTTAGCTAGCCATCAGGTCTGAACCTTACTGTCAGCTAGCCATCAGGTCTGAACCTTACTGTTAGCTAGCCATCAGGTCTGAACCTTACTGTTAGCTAGCCATCAGGTCTGAACTTTACTGTTAGCTTGCCATCAGGTCTGAACCTTACTGTCAGCTAGCCATCAGGTCTGAACCTTACTGTTAGCTAGCCATCAGGTCTGAACCTTACTGTTAGCTAGCCATCAGGTCTGAACCTTACTGTTAGCTAGCCATCAGGTCTGAACCTTACTGTTAGCTAGCCATCAGGTCTGAACCTTACTGTTAGCTTGCCATCAGGTCTGAACCTACTGTTAGCTTGCCATCAGGTCTGAACCTTACTGTCAGCTAGCCATCAGGTCTGAACCTTTTTGGTAGGGTGCAAATAATGTCTGAACCATTAGGTAGGCTAGATCGGTCGTCCTATTGGTGGGTTAAATGTCCAATCTGAACTTTTTGGGTAGGCTACTAGACATCTAGTACATCGATTCTAGAGTAAGTTTGACACCTAGTATGAACCTGCTTGTGTAGGCTCTACTGCACAGGCCCCCACTGCTGGTCAGAAAATCGATAAACTAGGCCCCGGTTTAGTATCAACACCCCCTACTATATAATACATAAAGGTTCATCACAGAAATACGGTGACATGATCGAAAACCGGACAATACGCACATGTCAATGAATATATCGTATTTTAAAGGTCTCACAAGTATCAAAAGCTTTTGTCCATATCTCCGATGTATGTAGGAGGCATGCACACGCGCTTTCCGTGGGGATGCATTTGATGGGTTTTATTAAATCGCTAAAGACCGAGTTGCTGTGCCGGAAGTATACAAAACTAGGTCGTCAGCGCAATCAAATTGGTTAATAAAATGACAACAAATGCACGTGCGAAAATGAGAGGGAAACTCAAACGTCTATCATCCAAGATGTCACTATCTGATGTTTTATCTTGGTAAGAATAATTTTAAAAACGAGTACAAATATTTTTAAAGAAACACATTCATTCAGTGTAATGTGTTAGCCAATCAGATCGCCGGAGGTAGTGAAGTCTAGCGCTGACGAGCTAGTTTTGTATACTTCCGGCACAGCAACTCGGTCTTTGGCGATTTAATAAAACCCATCAAATGCATCCTCGCGGAAAGCGCATGTATATGCCTCCTACATACATCGGAGATATGGACAAAAGCTTTTGAAACTTGTGAGACCTTTTAAAATACGATATATTCATTGACATGTGCGTAAGTGTCCGGTTTTCGATCATGTCACCGTATTTCTGTGATGAACCTTTATTTATTATATAGTAGGGGTGTTGATACTAAACCGGGGCCTAGTTTATCGATTTTTCTGACCCGCAGTGGGGGCCTGTGCTCTACTATTGTAGACTGGGGTGTTTTCCACATGCAGCTGTATCATTTAAAGCAATTTGTTTCAGGATTTGCATCTTGTTCCTGCTCTATGTGTAGGATAAAGCACGACTTGAGGTTATGGTTGGGAAAGTAAGACCGAGACCGGAGGATGGAGAAGTAAGACCGAGAGCGCGTAGCGCTCGAGGTCTTAGTTCTCTCCACCCGATGGTCGAGGGCTTACTTTCCCAACCATAACCGAGGAGGAGTGCTTTATTATACATATAAACCGTCAGTAATGGATAATTAGATGATCATGTATTTGCTATTCACGTGTGAAGTTGCCTCATACTGTCTGTTCCAGGGAGCTGCCCATTATGACACTGCTGTAGAGGCGCTCAACAAACTACGCTCAAATGGGTAACTATTAATATACCCTGAACAAATTAGAAACAATAAGCTCACCCTTGTTTCTTACGAAAAGAAAGAATGATCATACACTTATGTGATTGTTAATTTATTAGTACTAAGCACACCTATGTTGGCAACTTGCAGACACCGGGCTAATGCACACTGCCTTCTGTGGTCCAAGGTGGACAAGGTGCCGCCATGGGTTCGACCTTTGAGAGGCAACACACTCCGAAAAGCAGTCACACACAGAATATCAGAGGCGCTCAATAAAACAAAAGGACTGTAAGTATACAAGAAAGAGCAACCTCTTGCAAACCTGAACAAGGACCTGAACAAGAGGAGGTCAACCTTTTTAACGAGAGCTACATTCAACGAATATTGCCACGTACAGCCAACACTCATGCTGTAAAGAAATCTGCTTCACATCACATCAGGGTCAAATTTGGTCTAACTGTATCAATATGGGATATCAATACCGTAACGAAACACGATAGCAGTGTGTGACTGAGTTACAATAGTCTCTCGGTTCTTCACACTTGTTCTTCCTTAACAGATATATCTTATCTTTGAAGGGCATTTAGAAGTGGATTCATAAGAAAAGCAAAATATATGGATGTCAACTTCTTTATTGTAAATAACACGACGTTTCGGGAGTGTATGCTTGCTTCAGGAGATGAAGGATAAAGCATACACTTGCGTAGTGTTATTCACAATAAAGAAGTTGACATCCATAAATCTTGCTTTTCTCAGATATATCTCATTAATGAAGACCACGATAACGTTTCATGTGTAGAGTGGCACCTCCATGTGACAGAGTCTCTATTTGTAGAGTTGAGCACTGGGACGTGAACAACGAGATCCTCCATACCCAGTGGTTCCGGGAGACTCTCCAGGACAGGGACTACAACCTGGAGGTGTTCAGGATCGCCCACCAGGTGGACCCCAGCATGAAGCTGTTCTTCAACGAAAACACAGTCACAGCTCGCGGCGGAGATACCATGGTAACCTTTGTGATTTACTCCACTGGGTGGAATGTTGGGATACTTCCTTTAGTCAGTCGTTAATGGAACCACTGTTGTGTAAGACCCCTTTCTAACAACTCTTCTTGAAGATAGATTCTGTGAGACCGTTTAAAACGGCATTAGAAACCAGTTCACTCACTCACCTACTGAGGTCTCCTTCGTATCCAGGCATACCGTGATATGGCGATGCGGTTCAAACAAGCCGGGGTCCCTGTACATGGTATGGGTGTCCAGACACACTTCAGGGACCTCACAGCACCAGACCCTTACCTTCTCAAGGTTTGTTTGTTTGTTTGTTCGTGTGTATATTCCAACTGTACGAGTGTCTTAATTGTATCTGGAATAGACATTTCTGTGAACCGCTATCAAAGTCGTTGGATATGGTGACGAGCAATCAACCAAGTCACCAAGTCACCTGATGATCCTGCCCAGTCAGTCGCCGCTGATGACCTGCATCTGCAGCTGGGGACCAATCATACCTGGAATCCCCTGGATTCATGCCTCTGAATGTACTACCCGTTAGAATTGGTCTTCAGTAACCCCTGCTTGTCGTAAGAGGCGACTAACTGGATCGGGTTGGTCAGGCTCGCTGACTTGGTTGACACATGCCATGCTCTCATGCTGTTGATCACTGGATTGTCTGGTTCAGACTTGATTATTTACAGACCGCCGCCATATTGTCGGAAAATTGCTGAGTGCGGCGTTAAACAAGAAAGCAAACATCCAAATCCATGCAAATGGAAAAGTGCAGCCTAGCAAAGCATTCATTCTATTTGACTTTGAAGCTATACACGTCTGGTATAAAGCAGTTATATTGGTCACAGGTTCTCTGTCAATCCCTGAGAGGACTCCAAGGTGCAGCAGGTTGCTAGCTCTGCTAGAGCCGACCAAAATGAGTACCTGTTTTTCACAAAGTGGGACCTAAGACGTCACTGGTTTGACCTTGGGGTGCTTACGCGTCATATCCGACGATATGTACTGCTGCTGTGATACAGACACTATCAGGATCAGGAACTAGTCCGAGTTATCTTTTGAAATCTGAAGTCTGTGAAACATGACGAGACCCGTGAAGATCCGGGGTAGAATAGGTCTTCAGCAACCCATGCTTGCCACAAAAGGCGACTATGCTTGTCGTAAGAGGCGGCTAACGGGATAGGGTGGTCATGCTCGCTGACTTGGTTGACACATGTCATCGGTTCCCATTTGCTCAGTTCGATGCTCATGCTGTTGATCACTGGATTGTCTGGTCCACACTGGATTGTCTGGACAGACCGCCGCCATATAGCTGGAATATTGCTGAGTGCTGCGTAAAACTAAACTCACTCACTCACTGAAACATGATGACTTTACACTTCACCGAGGACGACATTTAACAAAAAAAGTTAATCCGAATGCTCGTTATCAGTATTTTGTACCGTCTAACACCTATACCAGCTCTGACGTCCCTCCTACACTCAACCGACACGATGTGAAATAAGTTGAATTATTCAAATTTTCGTTAAACCAATGAAAGTTACTTAAACACACTGTATCAGAAACGTCTAGACCTGCTTGCACAAGTTGGCCTCCCGCTGTGGGTGACCGAGCTGGACTTGTATTCCCCGGATGTGAACAAGCGAGCTGATTGGTACGAGACTGCTCTGAGGTCATTGTTCGGTCACCCGGCTGTGGACGGCATCATGCTGTGGGGGTTCTGGTCCGAGCAGCAGTGGCGTGGGGAACCTGCCTCGTTGGTCAGCGGACCTAACTTCCAGGTAACTATAGTGTGTGAGCGTAATGTACGCTCAATGTGTCCTCGGTGTAAGAGTAGTTAGTTTGTTCATGAAGATCGCCGCTTACAGCAATACTTTAGCTACATGGCCTATGATAGTGACCGGTGTTAGGAACTACGTCCTCCGCCATCGAGATACGATAACAAGCAGTCTGACCACCACCAACCCCCACCCCACGCCCACCCCCTACACCCAATCTAGTTAGTTTGTTGCTGGTTATTCACAAGCAAGTTGACTACATGGCATGATTGTCTGTTTCATTGTCACCATTAAGCCGACTCTATAGCGATGGCGTGTAAGTAATCCAATCTATCAATCATTCACTGGATTGTCTGTCTTGCACCTATCAGGTCGCTCGGATGCTGTTTATTACGTAGTTGAACATTAAAGTATATAACGATTATGAAGGCGGGGTGCAGTCATTTTCAAATCTACATAAATGTGTCCTGTTCTAGGTTAATGCAGCTGGACAGAGGTTCTTTGACCTTCTGGAGAAAGAATGGATGACAAATATGACGACGAAGATTTCCCATGCCCACAGACAGATAGAGGTGCGCGGTTTCCATGGCGATTACGAGCTGACGGCGACGTATCATGGACGTCCAATACAAACAAAGGACAACATTTACTCTGGGAAAAACGGACACTCATGCAAAACTGCACATTCCTAGACTGTCCGCTACTATTATTGGATAAAATATGAACTTCTTAAATAATACGACTGTGGAATATCTGCCCAAACCTTTTATTGATGTACATTTATTGAACAGAATAAACTACTACCGCACCACCATTGCGGTTTGACAGTTCTGTAGATGCTGGCTTTCCGGGAAAAGCAGCACGGCGCGAACTTTCGAATTCCAAAGTTGGATATAATCTAATATATATGTAAATGGTTACTAAAACCTCTGTGGAATTCTTGACTAGTGGACCAAAAGGTTTAGTTGTTATATGCTTTAGATGTTTGTAATATAAAATAAATTCTCCTTTAACGAAATGTTACAGTCTACACCAGCTGCGTGATGATGGTGTTTCTATTATTGAACTGTTGTTTTGGATTTTGCATTGAAAAATACCATATTTTTGATTTTTTTGTTTTAGATTTGAACTGATGGCGTAACAAACATATTTTCAAAATTGTATCCGGATACAAAATAGTGAAACAAGAAAGAAAGAAAAAAATATAACTCCGTTCAGGAAATCCATCATCATCACTCGCCCACTTTCCGGAATGTCTCAAGTTTGTCACGAATGACATAAATCGAGCACTGAATATTATAATATCTGTCATTGGCTTGTCTGGTCCAGAGTCGTATATGTACAGGCCAATTTCAGTTTCTGAGAACGATTTTGAAATACAAACCAATAAAAATGAACAGTAAGTATCCTTAACGCACCCTCTTAGCTACCATGACAAAGACGCCATCAAAGGTAGACACGGTGTTGCGTCTGGTCTTGTCCGATTCCTGTTCCCTCCAGTCTACAATATCAAACCCGCAGCGTGTCCACGTGTCTTTCACCTGTTCAACAGAGACATGGCAGCTCCTGAACACATGCTCGCCGACTTTGAAACCACAACTCCCATGAAGTCCGCATACAACTAGATGACCTCCTATCTTCAACATATTTGTTATCTTCTGGGCTGCAAGACCATAGTCGACGTGGTCCAGGGCAACGGCATCGAGACAAAATGATGTTGTTACCATGTCGAACCTTGGAAAGTAACAAGGCGCCAGTGGTTCTTCCAGCAGGAGATCTATTGGCAGTATGCCACATATCTTCTTCCTCAGTTCTTCTTCCCGACAAGAGGGTGAAGTCCTGAATGAGAGAAGGCAATGAAATCTCAAAGAATGCTTGTAATCGACATTTCTAGATATGAACTGTCGAGGACTGTCTTCCTCTACGAATCTTCCTATAGTCATGGGTGCCAGAGTCTTCCAAGGTGCTACAGACTTGCAGCCTAGACTAACGCTCATTCTCTCAACATATATCATTTTGATAGTAACAAATAAACCCATTTGAATTAAAAATGAGCTGAAGGAATCTAGACCTGCTTCATTTAGGGCTTTAGCATTGCAGGGAGAGCTCAGGGACTGTGAGACAGGCTAACTTGTACCCTTAAGGCGTGCCAGAAGTCCTATTTTTCGAATTGCGAATTTATTTTCCTTTGCGTTGATTGTGTTTAAGGTTTGTGCGCACCATACCATATAAACTGTTTGGCAACAAAGTGGTGAGGGTTAGGCATTACTTCGGGATTTCCTCCCTCATCAAGTTGACACTTTTACATAACCATAAGAAATATCAAAGCATTACACTAATTCGACCTGAATAACGAGTATGTGCTTATATGTGTAAATGGTGATGGTACCAGGTGATGAAACCGCGTATGTCACAAACACACATATATATATGAAGGCAAGGCAAGTGTAGGATACAAGTGGAAATAGGCAATTGCATCGACTATCATTTTGGTCACCGCGGACGGAAATCCAAATTCTTATTTATGAAAACTAAATGTTCGTTTGGAAATGTCTTAGACATTAAAATCAACTGTTTAAAATATCGAAAGTAGATCATGAATGAAGGCAATGGTAACGATATTTGGAGTCTGTCAGTTACGGAGTAAATAGAGATTATTAACCAAGTGTGTTTCCGTTTCATTAATATCATATATTAAAAATAGAAAATATGCATTATGCTCGTCTTTATAATACATATTTTTTATTTCTTATACGGAAACACACTCGGTTAATAATTTCTTTTTCACATAATGACAATTTTTTTTAAATTACTCTGAAAAAGAAGCAAATCGTACGTGAATATATGAACAGAATCGAACAATCGCGTAAGAATACATAGCGATACACAAAGGTGAAGGTCGTTCATGACACACACACACACACACACACCTGTAAACTCGCGACGACGTCATCGGTTTCGCATGGCGTGTATGGATTTTGTGAAAGTTGTTATTATTAACCGAGTGTGTTTCCGTGTCATTAATATCATATATTAAAAATAGAAACTATGCATTATGCTCGTCTTTAAAATACTTATTTTTACTTCTTATATATGATATTAATGATACGGAAACACACTCGGTTAATAATTTCTTTTTCACATAATGTCATTTTTTTTTAAATTACTCTGAAAAAGAAGCAACACACACACACACCCTGTAAACTCGCGGCGACGTCATCGTCATGAGTTTTGCGAAAGTATTTCGTGTATTGATCTAATTTGCATATTTATCAGATTTGGATACCAGGTTTATCAGATTTGGATACCAGGTTTATCAGATTGCTTTATTGCACCGATAACACCATCCATCATATGATAACAGATACCCTTCCCTGTCCACCACATATTTGACTCTGCCAGTAAGGAGAAATTACCCTTTCCCTTCCTTGTCGACCACATACTGGAAGAAACTCTTGAAACTGTGCTGCAGACTCCCATCCAGCCATTTCCTCAGCGTTTCCCTGTTCTGGGGGGTGAAGTCGGACAGGTAGACGGTGTCGCAGTAGTTGGAGGCGCTGATCACCGAGTGGATTGTAGGGCCTGTTCCGATGTCGAGCAGTCGACGGCCTGTCAACTTACCTGCGACATATGAAGAAGAAAGAAAGATTACATTATATAATGCATTTCAGTTGAAACTTCACATCACACAGTCTCCTCGCCGGGCAAAAGAAAACCGTCATCTATGTCTGAGTGCGGATGAAAATGGAACGAAAAAGAAGAAATAGGTTTTCAAAAGTGATGTATTTGATACTGATATCATCCATTGTGTTGAGAACGTAAGTTTGCAATTCCTCACCGAATACTTTCTACCTATTAACGTTTGCTGTAAGTAGTATATAAGTAATCAGTTTCGGACATCAAAGCATTCCTAAGGAGAACAATAGCATTCCTAAGGAGAACAATAGCATTCCAGGGGAGAACAATAGCATTTTTTAAGGAGTACTCCTACATACCAAAGGAGTTTTCAGGAGCACATTCCATAAATTCCAGGAGCTGTCCTTTGAACCCTTAACCCTATTGTATACAATGATAGCCTACACTATGGTTATATACCAGCTGGTAAAGAGTTAAGTGGCGTCTTTATATAACATCATGACTCACGGAGATGGGAATGTGTATTGAAATGTTATGACTAGGAACCAATCAAATTTGATATATTGAAATCATTGCTATTAAAGTTGAAATGGGTGGAATGTTGGCCACCTACATCTTTTAAATATTTGTGTTGTTTGGCATTCCATTTATGAGTCATGTTAACCAACCAATCAGACAGCATTGCTACTACATACATCCAGAAGACAGCACAAGCACTACAGCATCCCATGTTGCACCTTCACTATGAGACATTTCAGAAGGTGTTATCAGACGTATAGGCTTCTCAACAGACCAGTTACTTACTAGTGTGTTTCAAGAAGTGAAGGATATTGTGAATACTCAGGTACATTTGCATGAAACAATGATGCGAACCAGTGAGTTGTACAAAACCATGTACACCGAGATGGCAGAGCGAATGAAGACCTTAGAAGAGAAACTGCCATCAGTATCGCCTGCTCTCTTGAGTTTGCTGTTGGATTACATGAAAATTGCTGCCACATCTGCCAACGAGAATTCAGATAACAGAAAGCAAAAATCTCCAATCGCATCTCTTCCTAAGGCTAAGAAAACTAGAAAAGTGAAGGAGAACGAGAGACAACCAGTGGCAAAGAAGAGCAAAAGAACACAAAAGCGGAAGACCAAACAGGAGGTAGCCAGTCCAGCAATCAAACCAAGGTAAGTGTAATCATTACGATAATTAATTATATTTGTTCTACCTAATTGTTTACAATGAAATAATTTTATTTCTCAATTTATATCTTATATTCGTCTTCTTTATTGATAGGAGCGATGTCAGCGCTATTTCACCTACTGCACCGCAGCCATCTCCATCACTCCTGATAGAACCTATAACACCTCCTACAGAACCTAACTTCAATGACCGGCTTCCAACAGAGTCCACCTTAAATGATTTGTGGTTGGATTACACTCAACTCATGGAAGACATTGAACAGCAAGAGAAACAACACATGGAGATGAATGTCGCAGGTGATTTAACAGCGGAAGATCCATATGAAGAAGAGAAACTTCCTCCTCTTCAACGAAATTGTAGCATTTGTCGTCACAATGATATGCTGCGTCACGTGAGTTGCAATAGTGGACAAGTCCAGTGTCACGTGTGTTGTAATGAACTTATTGACTGTTTGTATGACTATGATCCAGAGGGGATGATGGAAGACACGTCATCTCAAGATTTTGAAGGACATATCCTATCAGTGTAAATTCAGAGGTGTTTTAATCATACTCTGTAACATGGTGATGATCATTATGTACTGTAACACACTTTTGTGAATTGTAATAGGGGATAGTGGTGGAATGAATAAATAATCAAACCATATGTGTTTTATGTTATATATATTGTTTAGTAAGTCACATTCTCCTCAGCACAACATGAGTTCCCAAAAGAAAAACAGTGAGTTGAAACAGCAAAAAGCTTTAGAAAAGTATTATTATGACCCTCACAATCCGGGCGCTTATTATGGACCCTCCAAACTGCGTGATGAATTGAAGAAAAAGAGTCACCATAGTATCAAGCTGAGGGAGGTGAAACGATTTGTGAACAACCAAGACGCTTATAGTTTACACAAACCAGTCAAACACAGATTTAAAGGATGAAGTAGGAACTGAATATCTCAATCTGGTGAAATCGGGAAATGTGAGACTTGAAATTGAATTCAAATCTGCTCTCACCAAAACTTTGAGTTGTGTCATCATGAGTGAAAGAAACTCTATCATAGAAATTGATAAGGCAAGGAATGTGTATATCAAGTAATCATCAACATGAAAGCCTCAGAATTGCAATGTGCCATACAGTGTGATTCAGTCTTACAGAGACATGTCTTGGGAGTGTATGCTAAAGATACTTTACCCACACTCGCACCTTCACTGTTGAATACCTTCATTGTGAATACAGACAGCATACAAAAGAGTGGTCGCCACTGGGGGGCTATGTATTTTAAAGGAACTAGAGCAGAACCAGTTGATGCTGTATTTGATAGTTATCTAAAGTCTTATGTTAAATCCTACTTGCACAATGGTGAACGGTTACAATCTGTAGATTCAAATGTATGTGGCTTCTATTGTTTGTATTATCTCTTATGTAATTGTAAAACCAACTGGAGTTTTCATCACTTTCTTCATCAATTTGATGTAAGGAACTTTATATGGAATGACACTTGTGTATCTCAATATATTTGTCACTACTTCAAATACTGTACACCTTCTTGTTTCAGTTGTCAATGATGCTATTGATGTATGTAAAAAAAAAATGAAAAAAAAGTAGTTTAGATCAAATGATGTTTTGTTGGGTATAAGAAAAATGTACAAATGCAAATATCATTTGCAAAAATGTCCTGCATAGTAAGGAAGTAGAATAAATACTAAACTGAAGTATCTAATGACTGGCATTTCACTCTTGCCTGCTGATGGATAAGATGTCCTTTTTCAACATGAGGAGAGCTTCTTGGGATATATTTGGCCCTACACCCATGTTATCAAAGTTTGGCAAGAGCAAGTCAACAAAAACACGTCAGAGAAAAACAATATGATCGCTGAATAGACAGGTTACATCTAACAAAGAAAAAAAGAGGGGCAACTGTGAAGGGGGAAAAGAAGACTGCCCTCAAAATACAACCTGTGTCCAATATCATTATGAAACGGACTAAAGCTGTCTTGAAACGTAACATGGCTCAAAGGTATAAAAGAATGCTTCAGACCCTCTAATCACCCACTTGTGTTACATCACTATGGAGCTTACTACCACCTGTCCAGACTGTGACAAGAGATTTACACGAAAAGATAATTTACAAAGACATCAGAAGCAGATGCATATGCATGGATCAATTCAAGAGTTACATCCTCTTCCTCAGGATAAACAACTTCCTTCTCCTCCTCCTCAGGATAAACATCTTTCTCCGCCTCAGGATAAACAACTCCTTCTCCCTCCTCCTCCTCTCCTCCTCCTCCTCCTCCTCAGGAGGAGCACAAGAAGCATGAACGATTCAAATTTCTGATTCCCTCCAATGGCATCATCGTCGGACCCAGTGGATGTGGAAAGTCGGTGTTTGTCTTCAACCTATTAAGACATGGATTCATTCAACCTCTACCTGACTGTATAGTCTGGTGTTATACCGTGTGGCAACCTCTTTACGATAGCATTCTTCAAACTTTATCTCGTTTTGTGAAAGGAATACCTTACAATATCGAAGATGAAAACTACTTTGATGCCCACAACCAGAACATGATGGTGTTGGATGATATTTTGTCTGAAGCAAAGAACGATAAGCGGATTTCCCGTCTGTTTACTCAAACCTCCCACCACAAAAATGTTATTATCTTTTGCTATTTCAAAACCTCTTCCCAAGAGGTAAGGAATCTCATGACATTGCTCTAAATTCACATTATGTAACACTTTTCAATTCACCAGTGGACAGACAGCAGGTGAAGTTATTTGCCAGAAGGATATTTCCTGATGACATTAGTAGATTATGACTGTTGAAACAACTTATGGACACCTCACATTGGATCTCAAACCTAATACAAGTGAAAAGAATAGACTCCATGTCAATCTCTTGAAAACCAACCTCAATACATCTGATCAACAGAGTGGTTTGCAACAAAAACAGGTAAAAGAGGTCTCTCCAGTATTAGACGTTCAGACAGCTTTCAACATTTGTGCTGATCACACATCCAAAGAAAGATCTCTTCTCTTTGACAACAATGATGCTGAAACAGCATCCATCTTGAGTGATGACACAGGACCTTTCACCATGGCCACTGTGTGTACCGACTGCGGCGTATTGATAGACAATATGCATGATCTACAGCGACATATCAAAACATGGTGTCCAGCAAACACCAGTTTGAAATCCAAGAGGAAACGTCTCAGACATGATAGTGACGACAACAGTGAAGGCGAGGAACAACTTCCTGTACAGAAAGGAGGAGGTTCTGCTGGAAAACAATGTCGTGGGAAGCCTTCAAGCACTGACATGGAGGAGTGACAAAATGTGGGTTTACAACGCATCTGGAATCGTGTGTACAACATCAACCATGACGTGATGAAACTCAAAAGGAAAAAGTACAGACAACAGGGTCGAACAGAAGATTGAATTGACAGAAAAATGAAACAGATATGGGGAAATGAATTGGTCAATAGCCTTAACAATGTCATAGAGTTCACTCAATACTTTAAACAGGCACCTCTATTTCAACCCAACCTAGACAGCCTGAGTGATATGGACCCTGGCACTGATCAATCTATCATCAAAAACAAGATAACCCGTTTCATGAAAACTATCATGAAAGACATTCTGACTCGTATAGATATGCCCGAAGTAGAAAGTGACAGTGAATCTGTCATGGCTGCCGATGACGATACTGATGATGATGATGAGGGTCAGCAAGAATAAAAGCCTTGTCTTGCGTTACAACCCTTCAGTCGAGATTTTATCATCCCATAATAATGACACAGAAGAATCAGTCACCAAGCCGACATAAAGGAAGGAAGAGGTGTGGACTTATCCACACATTAAAAACACAACCTGCCAAGAAGACAAAACAGTTTTCTCGAAATGACACCAACAACTCCCTATCAAAGAAACACTTGGTCCTATACATCAGGAGAGCAGCCAAGTTGGGACCCCTAGGACACAAACATCTTTCTGTGGCATAAATGCCGCTAAACAATAGTCTTCTCTGTTTTATACTTGCTGTATCTGAGTTGTTTCATGTTTCATGTTAAGACTAAAACACAATACAAGCTTTAAAATCATTGAACCAAAAGATTGCTTGTTTTCTTGTGAAAAATCCCTTGAATCCTACACTTGTGAAGACTGACACCTTATGTTGTTAATAAAAGGTCTGTTACAATTTTTGTTTCGTTGTTTTTAATTCATGTTTCTATGGTGTCATACACATTGTAAATATGTTTCAGCAATCCTATTGTTCAAAACAATATGATCTTGAACAGGCTGTTACTGACTGACTGAGTTTGGTTTTACCCTGCTTTTAGCAATATTCCAGCAACATCACGGCGGATGACACCAGAAATGGGCTTCATACATTGTACCCATGTTGGGATTCGAACCCGGGTCTTCGGCGTGACGAGCCAGCGCTTTAACCACTAGGCTACCCCACCGCCCCCAAACCCCGAATATATATATATATATTGCTGACACCAGTGTAATTGCCTTTTTACAGGACCGCCCCCGCTCTGGATCGGGTGATTAAGTAGTAGCATAACCTTATATGGAAAGGTCTGCTACCCATGTTTGGCTGAATGAAGAGTCTAGTGTATTAGCATCTGTCATCGCGTCTAACCTTGATGTCATGCATACATTGCGTGTGTATGAGTGTTCATGCACTTTACATAACTACCGAGAGGTAACAACAAAGCAAGTTAAAGAAGCTTTGACCAAATAAGCAGAAAAACCTAAAGTATTTACCAATGAAACTATTCCTACAATACATCCAGGTGGTGTTGTTGAACTCAAATGTTTCGTGTGAAGAAAACACAAAGCGATTACAGCTTAGATAATTTCATATTTTTGCAAAATGCTGTTCTTCGAATTCTGCTATCTACCTAAAAAGCTCACAAACGGGTTGTTGACACACGGCATCTCTTTTCAATAGTGTCAAGTCGCAGCCAACCGCCTCCGTGGTGTAGTGGTTAGAGCGTCCACCCGGAGAGCGGAAGGTCGCGGGTTCGATCCCCGACCGCGTCATACCAAAAAGACGTTAAAATATGGTACTTGTTGGTCCCTGCCTGGCGCTCGGCATTAATGGGTACAACAAGGACTGGTCGGCTCGGAGTCAGTATGTGTCTGAGTGGGGTATTCATGCTTCACTGCGGCATGGTATCTCAGTGGGCTAGCACTATAAAACTAGCTTAAGTCTCGGCTAGTACAAGCAGCCGCACATACATATACACGTGCATGCACGTCGTCATATGAGCGAAATATTCTCAAGCACGACGTAAAACCCAATTTCACCTCACCTCACCAAGTCGCAGCCCCCACACTAGTCAGTTGTGGCTCATGATCTATAATAACATCTCAACAATGACCACACAGTGAGCTTGTCACGTGAATACACATTCTTTTCTTTGTCAGCACTTCCCTATTTCGAAATGGCTACTACGTTTTTATACTATCCATTGTTTTGCTTTAATGAAGGCTGAGATGGCTGAATGTATCAGTGCATGATAACAATACAGCCAACCATGACTTGGCTGGCTTGTTACGTCATGCATATCTTTAGCTATTAATGAGTTACATACATACTAAATAACCTCCCACAGAAAACACATGAAACTAAATTTGACCACAGTTTAATATAAAGGTTGTAGTTGATGAAGTATCAATAAAATATTTTGTGGCACAACTATTTGAATACAATGCAATAATCAGATAATAGTGTAAAGAGGTCATATGGTATACTTTCTTATTTGTCTGCAAACAAAAAAGGTTTGCAAATCTTGATCGTGACATTTTTAATAGAATATGTGTACTGAAAATTCAAAGGAATTGTAAGTCATGATATAGCGTGATATAAATCGTGACATTTTCTTAATAGCGTCTACCATTAAACATTCAAAATAAAGTGGTAAAACATTGAAGACATACGTGATTTAATTGTATGTTGATATAAAAATATCACAGGTACAGGTGAATGCACACATGTCTGTCTGGCGTGTGATTCAGCTGAATAATAAGCAGTTGTGTGAAACTATACCTATCCTTAAAAGCAAAGTGAAAAATTTAGTGTTATCAATTCAAGACCAGGAACGGTGTTTTTGCAAACCCTATGTTGTTCAGTTGAAGGTATGTAATTGAAACTTTGTACAAATTGTTAGAATTGATTGACTTTTAAGTAATATTTCTCATCCATTGAGCATTTGATATTTCATTTCTTGCAGAGAATAGTCTTAATTTTGACCTGCTTGTATACTGCAGAATTATATTCATATGCAGGCATGTACAATGAGCTAGAATAGGTGAGCTGTATTTCATACATTCTGTTAGCCCTTTACCTGCTGGAGTAGAGAAATACTCAGTTGAATACACATTCCAATCTCAGAGAGTTATGTTTGTTGCAGAATTACGGAAATCGGAAATGACCTTTTTTTGTGGAAGCATGACCCATATCGAATTCATATAAGTTGGCTGTGTAATGATATCTTGCAGGGTTTTGTAAATAATTAATCCTCGCCGCAAGTACGATTAACCTTTATGTTTACTTAATTTTCACTAGTGAGTTTAAGCTGTTGATGGGTAGTATATCTTAGATTGAAAAAATTGCGATCCGCTGGAGTGTAGCGCCAAGACACAACTTTGAGGTGAGATGACCAACTTTCGACCCCACTTTAACGTGGACGGTTGCGTTTGGATGAATATTTTCAATTTCAGTAACTGACATTCCAATCTGTGTGACTCACCAGGCTAAACCTTCCATTCATATTTACATATGTTTGTACTTCTTTTCAAACCAATTGATTTAGACAATATGTTATTTCCAAAGAAGCTATATGTACAGGGTTTGAACATTGATATTACATATAAAAGGAAATAGACTGCTGCATTTCTAGGTTGGAATTCTGATGGAATATAACGTTAGAAGTGTTGCATGCTTACAAGTTACACTAACAACTAGTCTCTGAAATGAACATATTTTACTGAAAAAAAGTTCATAGTAAAAACAATATAATGAAAAGGAGCCCTGAGACTTTCTTCATTTTCAGAAGCTGAGGAAATCTAGACTTGCCACATTTTCTAGACTTGCGTGGGCTTTCTTGGATATATTTGCTTCAGGGTCTATACGACAGACTAGCTTACAAGTGTTAACAAATAAGATGGACTACTTAATGAACATATTACTTATGGTATCAAGCACTTATTGAAAGCGGTTAGAATCAGCTATGAATTTATAGACAAAAGCAACATTCCACCCATTTCAACTTTAATAGCAATGATTTCAATATATCAAATTTGATTGGTTCCTAGTCATAACATTTCAATACACATTCCAGTCAGCATGAGTAATCTCTTTAAATAAAGACGCCACTTAGTGTAGGCTATCATTGTATACAATAGGGTTAAGCGTTCAAAGGACAGCTCCTGGAATTTATGGAATGTGCTCCTGAAAACTCCTTTGGTATGTAGGAGTACTCCTTAAAAAATGCTATTGTTCTCCCTTGGAATGCTATTGTTCTCCTTAGGAATGCTATTGTTCTCCTTAGGAATGCTTTGATGTCCGAAACTGATTACTTATATACTACTGCTGTAGTTTGTTATTTTGAATTTTTCAAATTCCAAGCGTATACTTTGTCCGGTAGATCAACGGCCACAGGACAAGATGGATGAGAACTCTCGTTGTTGTTGATGAAGTGAAGAGAAAGAGAACAATGAAGTGGACGTGTGGGTATATAGGTGTCACTATATAGCTGGGATATTGCTGAGTGCGGAAAACAAAAAAAAATCATGCGGCCGTATGGACCTGTGTCTTTAAACATTAAACATGGAGTCACCTTCTGCGAAAACGTCATGGAGATTCTTCATTTTCCATGGCATCAGGTCCCCTTCATCTTGGTTGCCTTTAATGTCAGAGTGATACATCTTCAGGAAGGCAACTGGATCAAAATATTTCAGATAGTCCTCTCGTCCAAACTTCTCCTTGTTCATAGCTGTGTAAAACATCAGAAAGGTGCAGACTGAATCATTAGTCTTTATTCATCATCCAGTAAAACATCCTCGTCCTAGTTGTAAGATGTAAACACGAGTTACCGTGTAATATATAAATTTGTGTGTGTTAGATTTCATTACACACTCGGGGTCCTTTAAATATATAGCGACAACGTTTAAACATTCGGGGCTTGGACAGGCAAACCAGTGACTGACAGCATGGTCAACCGACCACGTGGTCAGGGTACGACATCCTCGACGAGTCAGAGTATCTCCATCAAGGCTTGAAGTAACAATAGATGACATGGACCCAATACCGCAGTGAAATCTGATCCTCGCCGACCTTTCTCATAATTCCACTTGGTAGTATGTGTTTCAATGACATTTTTAGCGTCATGCCTTTCAGATCGGATTCAAAGCGAAGTCATGTTAGCGAATAGGTCGTGGCTATTTGTCATAATAAAATGGAGGATTAGCAAAGGTGGAGCACGGCACGGCCTGGTCGATGGCTCAACAGCCAGCTGTATTGTAAGTGTAAGTTCAACAGACGGGACAGCTGGTTATTAGGTGCTTGACTCTGAGAGTGTGGGTTCAAATCCCGGGTGGGGCTCAACCATAAAGTACTAGAATCTGCACTTTACTGAGAAAGCCTAATCCCAAACATAAAATATGTAAAGTTTGATAACTTTCTGAAAGGTTTTGTGTATTCATTAACAGTTAAGAACATTTACATGGGACGCCAACATGACATCTGGTTCCTGCTGGATGATGCTTGTAGCTAACCACTGTGACAGCCTACACACGACCATTGCAGTAACTGGGGGAAAAGTCTTCACGGCAACTTGGTAACCTTATTTATATACCATGTAAGACATACGACACTGTCCTTCTGAGCAGCAAACGAACAACAATCAGGAAAGAAACATGGCCAAAATGCCCCTCATACTCACTGCGTGATTCGTCGTCTGTCGTACACCGCCTGCTATGATACACCCGAACTACAGGCTACAGACAACTTCTCGAGTAATGTGATGACGGTACTTTTATTCAGTCACCTCGGTCTATGCAATGTGATACATTTAATCACATTTTTTATTCCAGCAACATGTTACAATTAATATTAGATTACTACTGTGTTCCTGTTGGGACATCGACTTCAGTTAGGGTTAACCCTTGTTATGTCGACATGTGGATGCCGATACCCAACGTGTGTAGCTGAAACATACCAAAGTCTTAGTTCCTTGTGGGACTTAAAGGGAGAGTACACCCAACTTAGCAACTTGGCAGTAATTTAAAGTATCCTTAAAGACAAATGTTTGACCAAAATGAATCAAATTGAAAAAAGGTGCAAATTAGGCGATGATAAACGACTGGCGCCTCCAAAAGACAAATATAATACGCCACTGGGAGGGTTGGGAGGGATTCCCCTTACTGGTTTCAAATGAGTTTCTGATGTTTGACGCTATTTCAGTGATCGGTGCGGTCTTGGAGTCCCAGCTGAATCCTCGATCGAAATCACTCTAGAGGTGATTTGGGACCAGACTTACATTATTACCATCGGTTCAAAGCACCCTACCAGTGTACCCCTAGACGATTTCTCAGGCTCAAATGACAACCCTAACTGTTTCTCATACACACACAGAGACACACAGAGACACACACAGACACACACACACACACACACATATGTTTGATTCTATGTTTAATGTTTAATTTATGAAACATATAGTTTTACATTGAAAATATATCATTTTGGACTGATAAAATCTGTGTGTTAGTGAATCATATACAAGTGTTATGATGGCGTCACAGCTGTATAATGTTGGACTATACATTTAACTAATATAATCAAGCAAAAGATTTTGTCATATGTATTGTAACTGCTGAAGCGGTAATATTTTTTCTGTGTTGTAATCAATTTTCTAGAATAGTGTACAGTCAATGTTTATACATGATCTTATATCTGACGGAGTTTTGCTGATATTCACACAACACGAATACGGAATACGAATTTCTCATGTCTGTATGCACAATGTACCAAACAAGTGGTGGAAATAGTTCGAGCATTCGAGAAGTTGGTGAGTCAATAATAAAGCATGGGACTTGTTTATTGCATAGTGCGACATCGGTGTAGATTCCTTACACCGTTATCAAGCTAAATGTGACAACGACCAAGTGTTGAGAAGTACGATATGTGACAGTAAATATGTATGATCAGTAAATATGTGTATTTACATCTTTTTTTCTGTGATTATGTATATTTACTGAAAAATTCAGAAAATATACATATTTACTGTAACATAGTATGTTTTGACAAGCATAAGGTGTACAGTATGTCATTGAATAACCAGTGACACATAAGTGGATGAGGCCAGATCGGGAGTAAGAACAACACATATCAACCAAGAATCAGGATTCCATGAAAAGAAAACTTATCATGTGTCCAACGTTTACATACAGTTGTGCACCTTGGATACTGACAATATATCAACTTACGGACGAGAAATCGGAAACATAACTGTTTGTGCATAGCTTTGTACATGTATGTGCATCTGAGACTACACACACCAGGAGACGTCATTGATTGTCAATGATCCGGTCATATAACTTTGTATGTGCATCTGAGGCTACACACACCAGAAGACGTCACTGATTGTCAATGATCCGGTCATATAACTTTGTATGTGCATCTGAGACTACACACTACAGGAAACATCACTGATTATCAATGACCCGGTCATATAACTTTGTATGTGCATCTGAGGCTACACACACCAGGAGACTTCACTGATTATCAATGATCCGGTCATAACACTTTGCATGTGCATCTGAGGCTACACACACCAGGAGACATCGCTGATTGTCAATGATCAGGTCATATAACTTTGTATGTGCATCTGACACAGGACCAAAAGCCGGATAGTAAACCATTGAAATAAACGTAAATACAGTAGGAAATACATGCCATGACCGGATTTACGTATGTTTTCAGATATTTCCTAACTCCGGGCATATATTTCATATGAATCTATACGTTTGAAACATATGCTCATCGTACATTTTCGTATGCACAAGCACCTCGTTCATGTATGCCCTGACCGGATTGTCAGGGATTACCAAACATCAAGTGCAAAACAGATACCCCGGTAAATACATGATCATACAGTATTTCCAATGCATTCCTTTCAATTTCAATGGGTACTGAAATTTCCGATTTTGTTCTAAGTTTCCTCGGGTTGGAATCATGTGAATTTACTTAGGTTGGGAAACACATGTACATTTTCAAATTTGCAAATATTTACACACCTCAGATATTTATGTATCATAGTGGATTTCTATGGTGGCTGATTAGGGCCATCGGTTTCTCGCCTTAAAATTCGGAAGCGAGAAAGCGATATCACGAGACGAGAAAGCGATATCACGAGACGAGAAAGCGATATCACGAGACGATAAAGCGATAACGTCTGCTTCCTAGTTTCTAGTCTCTTCATTCACCTGATGAAGGATAAGAATATACTCCGTAACATCGTGTTCCAGTGCGGTATTAAACCACAAACCAACCAAATGAACTCCCCGTCGGGCTTTATTGTTTCAGTGATGGAATTTTTATACACCCTGTGCCTTTCATCTTGTCTTTTTATATGTGCCTATTTCACACATACATATTTCTACTTTTATGTGAAAAAGGTATTGTTCTAAATGTATGTGCCATCGTCTTCCATACTTCCACACGAATGGCTTGTCTACATACTTATATGTATGTCTGTCCCCATATCCCAGCTATCTACTTGAGACAGTGCCACAAGTCATCGACCGACGTGATAGGTGTTTAACAAAAACGTAATATAATTATTACTTGGGGAATTAAGCACTATATCATTAAACACCTGTATATTGAAAATAATTTAGTTTAGTTGGGGAGTTGAGAAGTTGGACGTAAGAGGGTTGTGAACTTGATTGCGTATCAGTTCAACTAAGTAAGTAATGTAAAGTATATTGTGACTTATTGGTTGTGAAACGTGCGGTGTGTGGCCTTGACATTGTGAGTTAGTCTAGATAATCGAGTTTACACTGTAATGTGTGGCTGGATAGGGATGTTTTAAAGGGTTTATTCTGAATTTAATTGTGCCATTTTTTGTTTGGTGTTTTGATATTTTGTTTTCAGATCCAGTATAGTAGTTATTGAGTAATTTGGTTTCTTCTACTATCTAGTAGGTACTAGTCTTTGCACCTATGGGGTTTTTTTATATTGTAAGGAGTTTAGTTGGGGATAGAGAAGGACGGGAGCGACTCACTCCAGTGTGTACATGATAAATGTTTTGTAGATGTGTAGGCGGGTTTATTTGGCTGCAGTGACCTCAATGCTCACAGTATGAAACATACATTTTAGAAAGTCCGATATGCTCATGTGGATTAGCAAATGAGGATAGCTTTCACTTTTTCTTTACTTGTCCAATATATACTGTAACTCGAAATAACATGTACTTTTACCAAAAAAGATATACATTAGACTCAGTATTATGCGAAAATGTCCATGCAACTGCACCTGTAAAAATGCAGATTCTTGAATCTGTTCATTTATATATCGTAAAGTCAGGCAGATTTGACGCCCTTTTCTCAAGATAATGATTGTTTACTCTCAACCTATGTTTTCGACATACCTCTCTTCTTTTGGACTATGTACAGCGTATACATGACTAACAGCCAAACTTTGTAATTGTTATTTGTTTTTGTAAGGGAGTGGTGTTCATATAAGCTTACAGCTTGTTCACCGATCCCTATTCAATTTAGTTTGAATGAAAATATGTTTAAACCATTTGTCTGCATCCCAGTGAATGTCACCTATTGCTCTCATTCGATTTGAATCGTTATAAACAAGATGATACAGGTAGATAGTTCCATATATTGAACGAGTTTCAAGTCCTCCTCTGGAAACGAAAATGTTACGAAAGGTTAATTGGATACACGCGTCACCAATCAGCTTATCAAAACCTATGCGACCACGTCCAGCTGTAGCGCATTACTTTACTTTTATTCTCAATAGACCACCAATAGTGGTATAAGAGTACATATCACACACATCAATTACTACATACAGTCAAAATGGCGGCGGGGTGTAACAATATAGTGTAGAAAACAGTTGTTGGTATAACATGTCTATTATCTAAATTTTGTTAGAAGAAAACGTAGGGGAAAAGATGGGTTTTGATAGATATTTTGATGGCAGAACGGGTTTGAAATTGGCGGACCAAAATGTCGCTTACATTATAATAAAGGAGTTGTATATCCATATAACTTTCCCCGTTGTTCAGCACACCAACTTCTAAATGCCATCCAAAGAAGTTCACTATATATGGCTAGGCCAGCGTTTAACTGCATACTATTTTCAGCTTTGATTAGACGAACGTTTGACTGCATCCTTTTATTTGCTTAGATTACACCATTGACTGTGGAATGGTATTGCTCTTAGGCGACATATATTTCAATTCACACACTCACTCAGTTATTTTATTTTAGGATGATGGTTTGGATGTGGTTGATTGTCTTAGTGCTGGCCACTCATGGTGGAAATCACCATGAAAAGATACTCGTCACAATGCCTTATTTGTCATAGGTCACTCCCTTTCATCTGGCACTTCCGACACATTTGTCACACAATATCATAATTCAAAGACAACCATAGAAAAGAACCAGTCACACTACAAAATTCGTAAAAACTTTTGGAAGCAGTACACATCAAGAAGATACGATCCGCTCTCAACAGAGATGAAGGATAGTACATTCCCAATGCCTACCATCACTTGATAAAGTAATCAATAATATTTCTTGTGTACATTATCTGTTTCAATTCAACTATGTACATCAACCCCATTTTTTGTATATACATCCACCTGGCTTTCTATAAGTTCTAACTCAGTCCTTGTATATCACCCTTCTGGCTTCCAATCAACTTACTCAAACTCTTCTACAAGCGTTGTACATCAATCTCATCTATTGTATATCAAAGATTGTATATCTGTAACAACAACTCCTGTATATATTCTCTCAATTTGTTACTCATGTATCACTTGCTTGA